AGTTTGTCTGCTGTGGAGTCAGGGAGAATGCTGTTATGGATGAAGTCTGAGGGCAATCTGCTGGAGAATTGTCTTGCTTTTGTTCTGTTCAGAACTTCAACTGACTAGATGAAGCCTGCCAAATTCGAAAAAGCATTTTACTTTACTCAAAATCCACCAATTTAAATGTTAATCTCACTAAAAAAAAAAAATGCACTCACTAAAACACTCAGAATAATATTTGACCAAATATCTGAGCAACTTATTGCCCATTCATGCTGACGCATGAAATTAACCATCATAGATGTATAGCTCACATGCATATGAAGACAGAGATCACATTCTGGGCAGTGACCCAGAGGGTAAACAAGTGTTTCAGTTATTGATCCCTGGGTAACACATCACCCCAAACTCGGGGGCTTAAAACAGCAGCCTTCTTATCATGTGTGTGTGTTCCTTAGATCTGAAATTCAAACAGGGAGTAGAGGGGAGGGTTTATCTCTGCTCTTCAGCATCTGGGACTCAGTTAGTGAGACACAGATCCCTGGGACTGACAGTTGGATGGAGGCTGGGGTCATCTGGAGGTTCTTCAGTACTGTTTGGAACTGGGACTGAGATAGCTTGAGCTGGGTCTCCTGGGACTGTAAACAGACCACAGTCAGGAAGCATTTGGGCTTCCTGACTCACGTTTCTCCCAGTGTGACTGCTGGGTTCCACAAGGGAACACTCTGGGAAGGATGTCTGGAGAATGGGTGTTCGAGAGACCAGGCTGAAGCTGCAAGGCTTCTGATGACCGCCCCTCGAAAGTCATGCAGTGTCACCCTCACCACATGCCTAGCTAACATCTTCACTTGCCTGCTTTGTAACTCGCAACAACTAAAATTTATCTCTATGTAATATTTCCTAAGCAACTTGGAGCCCACACCATGGGCCTGCTGATCTTATTTTTTCAGAATGTTAAGTTACCCAGGAAAGCATGTTTTCTCTAGGAGTACACTAGGAAAGTAAAATCCAACATGTTTATATTCTTCCTTTCCCTTTCAAGAGAAAGCTCTTTTTATTTGTTTCGTTTCCTGCTCTCCTGAGAAAGGAAAGGGATAGAGTGAATTTTATACCTTGATGTTGGTGAGTTATGGCCACATGTGTGTGCTCAGTCGTCAGTTGTATCTGACTCTTTGTGATCCCATGGACTATATATAGCCTGCCAGGCTCCTATGTCCATGGGGATTCTCCAGGCAAGACTACTGAATGAGGTTGCCATGCCCTCCTCCAGGGGATCTTCTTGACCCAGGGATCAAATCCACGTCTCCTATGCCTCATGCATTGAGGTGGTGCTGAGCCAGCAGGGAACCCCAAGTTAAAGCCACTTACAGACAGCTTTATCCAACAAAGAAGCTAGTACTGCTTATCTAGACAAGAGAAGAAAATGAAAAGGTCCCAGTTTATTCACATGACCTTTGATATTGTATTAAGTGATCACACAATTGTGGCAGAGGACACAGAGATGGTGGCTTGAAATAAAACTCCAACTGACATAGTTTTAAAAGCAATATGGCAGCACTGAGCTTGCCACAGAGTTAGAAAGAGAGTGAGAAGCCTTCCCTGTTGGAAAGCTGGCCAGCAGCCGAAAAACCAGTGGTTAGTTCTTTCTTCCTCTACTGTTCCTCTCTTCCAATTTTATATGAAATGATCATTTCTTCTTTCTCATGAGTGGGAAGAACAGCCAGCAAGAAATAGAGTTAGGGTTCCCCAAGCCCAAGCTATGGTAACCTCAGTCCATGGTAATCCCATATATTGTTTCCTTTTCCAGAATGTGTTATTTATTTCCCACCGACATAAATGATGGAGATCATGCTTATGTAACAGTTAATCAACCAAAGGAACCAAAGGACCATTCCCCTTGCACTCTGAAGAGCATGGGTAAGGTTGCTATTGCCAGGTAACTAGGTGCAAAGCAGCATTGTGACATTTGAGCTTTCCGTAGAGAAAAATAAATTCGGAAAAGATTTAAAAGTTTCTTCAACCACATGGAGTCAGTTCTTTTTTAAAACTTCTTAAGGGTAGTCCCAACTGTTAGAAAGCTATTTTTCTAATAAATAAATTCAAATCTGAACAAAATAACTCTCCCTGAATCCTCTTAATGAGAATATAGATGATTTGAATTAGTCATCCTGATGAAGGTTGATAAAGAAAATAACTTTCCATCAAAGAATAAGATGTTCCAAAATCGTCAAAACAGCTCAAGACTTTTGTGCCCATTTCTATGTCCAATACAGTGTGGAAAGAATTCACTTCTATGGACCAGCATCATTGAAAAGAGAATAATGAAATAAATATGAAGTGAGCTATGTGCTTTTAAAAAATATTCTTTGTGCCTGTTTGGAAGGTGTTTGAAAGCAAAAGTTGCAGTTTCTTTGATAAATATATATGAGTGTTCTTGCTATTATTTAGTTACTAAATTGTATCTAACTGTTTTGTGACCCTATGGACTGTAGCCCGTCAGGCTCCTCTGTCCATGGGATTTCCCAGGCAAGAATGTGGGAGTGTGTTGCCATTTTCTTCTCCAGGAGATCTTCCCAACCCAGGGAGTGAGCCCTTGTCTCCTGCATTGGCAGGCTGATTCTTTACCACTGAGCTACCAGGGAAGCCCAAATATATATTATATATTATTAATATATATAAATATACAAATATATGTAAGCCTATATATATGGCATGTGACCAATTTAATATAAAAAATTACAAATATTTTATGACTGTTCAGCATTTTGCTGAAACCAACTAGTGATGTTGGGGGAACTGGTCTCCCTACAATGCTTAATGCCATCTCAGTGGAGCATGGGTACAGTAAGGATGAGAGGGGTCTTGGAGAACATGGGATACGTGACCAAAAAAAGTATGACATCAAAGGCAAGAGCAATGGATAGGACAGTAAGATCAGAAAGGGAGAGGGGAAGGGAGAGTAAAAAGAGGAAGACAGTAGTGAATGCTGCTACTTTCCTAAAAATTAAAAAAAAAAAAAAGATTAAGCGAAAGGAAAACCAGAATTTGCTAAAATGGGGTCAGAATAGATACTAAAACCCTGAACAAAGAGCAGTCGAAAAGGAATAGGAATTCTGCCCGACTGTCCCCCATCTCTGCGGTGTTCACATCCAGCGCCTCCCTGGCCAGGGCTGGCCTCTGTTCCGAGCGGACACTGTGCTTCTCTCTGAACAAACTGTAGCTCAAGGAATTTTAAATATAGATGTACCACTCACTCCTGTGTGTTATCAGAGCTTAGTCTCCCCCAGGCTATCTCAAGACACACAGGAATCCCTCCGCGGCAGGCAGGGTAAGTCAAGATCTCAGACAACAGGGATGAGCAGAGGCCAGAGGGAAGGCCTGCGGGGGAAAGCTAGAACAATGTCAGGTGCAGACTGACCTCTTCTTGCTGGTGGTGGTGGTTTAGTCCCTCCGTCGTGTCTGATTCTATGACTCATAGACTCTAGCCTTTCAGGCTCCTCTGTCCACGGAGTTTTCCAGGAAAGAATACTGGAGTGGGTTGTCATGCCCTTCTCCAGGGGATCTTTTCAACCCAGGGATGGAACCTGGGTCTCTTGCATTGCAGGCAGATTTTTTTTTAATAATTTAATTAATTGATTTATGGCTGTGCAGGGTCTTCGTCGCTGCACGGGCTTCCTCTAGCTGTAGTGAGTGGGGGCTACTCTGATTGTGGTGCGCTGGCTTCTCACAGCAGTGGCTTCTCTTGATGAGCACCACAGGCTGTAGGATGCTAGGGCTTCAGTAGTTGCGGTGTATGGGCTTAGTTGTTCTGCAGCATGTGGGCTTTTCCTGGATCAGGGGTTGAACCTGCGTCTCCTACAATTGGCAAGTGGATTCTTTATCACTGAGCCACCAGGAAAGCCCCTGCAGGCAGATTCTTTACCAATGGAGCACCAGGGAAGCCCTTCTTGCTATCTTGGTTTCCTATAAAGCAGTCTTCTCAAACTTTAAGGCACTCCCGTCAGCTTAGGGATATTGTTCAAATGTCGATACTGGTTCGGAAGCGCTGGGATGAACCCAGATGCTACATTCTAACAAGCTTCTGGTGATGCTGCTGGTCTTCAGACAGCACTGGGAGGAGTGATTTATAGAGCACCCTGACGAACCCGGATTGAGTCTGGTGTCACAAGAGGAAGGGAGAGAAAGAGAGACTCTTTCCTGCAGGTTCCTATAGAGAGTATGCGGGGAGCAACATATGTTTTTCTTTGTTCCCTTATTACAGTACTTCGTCCACTTCCCCAGGATTCAGAGTGATGACAGTTTCCCTTTAGAACTTTCAGGCAACTGTCATTCTCTGCCAGTGAGACTGGACACAGAGCAATACCAGATGTGAGTCACCCAGGGAAGGAATCGGAACTCAGAGATTCTGGGAGCTCTAACCTGCCCTCTTAGATGGGCACCTGGCTGGCCCCTGCAGCTTTTCTATTTTGTCCTCACTTAATCCTTCTTCCATGGAGGAACAATAATTATCTGAATCACGCTAAACCTGAACATCAGGTGTATGTTGGAAAGCCTGAACAATGGAAGCAGAAATATTGAGAAAGTGATAAAAATCAGACTTCAGGACAGAGGCTAGTGGTTTGAGTCTGATTCCTTTAACCGCTTGAAAGATGTTTCTGATCTAGAAGCTACCTCCATGCTTCTTGTGTGTGAGACAGAAGGCAGGGGTGATGGAATGCATCCTCTACAAACCAGAGGCAAACAGCTTTAAGAAAAACGATGGTTTGGCCTCCCGAGGAGAGTCAGAGTTACTAGTCAATCTCAGTTGGAGTACTTTCATCTTTATTTCCTTTGACAGAAACTGCATGCTTCCTGAGGCAGTGTGGGTGTCCTCGGGGTGGCTACCTAGCTTTGCATGTTTCCTGACTGACACAACACTCCTGCCGTGCCTCAGGGCCGGGGTGGTGAGTGTCAGTGGGAGGAGTAACCAAGTTTCACTTCCTTGCTGGTTGGAGACTTGCAGCTACAGCCGGCTTGGGTCTCACCAAGGAGGGGAGACTGTGAGGAACAGCAGAGCCGTCCCTCTCTGCCTCTTACCCAGAGCACCTTGGCAGGCGCTTCGTGGACGTGAGGGGCGTGAATGGGCAGAGCAGAATCTCCAGAAGGGAAGATGAGCACCCAGGATCCTTCAGATCTGTGGAACAGGTCGTATGGAGAAGCGGAGCTGCTCCAGGACTTGGGGTAAGAGGGCAGGTCCCCATCTCCAAGTGTTTCTTGGGTGACCCTTAACTCACTGCTTCTACCTGAATGCTCAACTTGATGAGTGATTATCCTTAGTACTGTCTCTCTCTGCCTCCCCAGTCTTCTATCCTTTTTACTTAAAAGACAGTAGATACTCATCTCTGTGTGGGGCCAATTCCACTGTGAAAGCATGTATCATCTTTGCAGATCTAAAAATAAGTAGGTGGAGGAAATGGGACAAAAATAAAATATTGGACATTCTTTGAGATTACGGACAGAACTGGGGTGTGGTCACTGATGTTGCTGGGTTTCCTTGCTGTTATTGATCTGGTTTATAAATAAATGTGCTGTTAAACAGTTCTGAGCTCCAAGCTGTGAAATAAACAGAAAGCCTAGACCCTGCTGTAAGGGACAGGGACTTTTTCAAAAGAGAAAGAATGAGGAAGTGTGTGCAGCCGTGTCCCATATGTGTTTCTTTCTCCCGACAATGCACTTGTGACCTCTTGTATGCATGCATGTCTGGAAGGGCAACTTTGAGCCTTTCAAATACTAACAAGTCAAGAAGGGGATAAACTTTCTGCTCCAAACAGGCTGTACATTTAAGTAGGTGAAGTCATCATAGTCCCATCTTTAGAAAGGGACCAGATGAGACAGTTTATCAGGATACTTAATAAAAGAAGCTAGTATTGCACAAGAGAAGGGTGGGGGATTTCCTAGAGAAACTGCCCCTTTCCCCGGATGCACCAGGAATAGACTGGCGAGGCTGGTTTTGACACCTGTGATTCCAGAGAGGCAAGCCCTGCACCTGCTGTGCTACTAAACAGCTCTGATCTTCACAAACACCCAAGGACAGAGGGCCTTCACTAGTCTCCATCTTACAAAGGCAGATAAGTTCCAGTGGTCACCCATCAATTACGAGTCAGGTTTCCAATCTGCCAGGTCTATGTTCTTAATCAGAGAAAAACTAAAGTAGGGATGAACTCTCTCTCCATGAAGACTGCAGAGATTGTATCTTTTGGAGTTGTATTACTAGAAGAGTTCTCAACAAGTCCTGTCTTTATTGATAGATTTTAAATTTGAGGTCTCAGAATGGAACTCTAGCTTCACAAGGTAGATCAGACATAACAGCTAGACTTTTCAGTGAAGTGGAGTGGAGTCAGAGCTCCAGGACACTTCTAGCCTCCTGGACCAAATCCCCAAACAGCAGAGGTAAAATGCCCCCTGAGCATCCAAAACAGTCATCACAAAGCCAAGGCACGAAAGCTGGAAGCTGAGCTCTCACTTAGACCTTTATTAACTTATTAAACTATCATTCTTTATGTGATGGGTTATCTAGATTCCCAGCCCACGATTGGTAGGAAGCCCCAAAGGAGAAGAGACAAAGGAAATACTCCGCTCTGCTCCCTTAATTCAACAATCCTTGAACCTAGGCTCTGTGACTGAGTACCCTTGGCACTCACTTCAATGACAAAGATGAGCTAATGCTGTCTCTCTCCCCACCTTAGTGCCCATAGCAGGAAATGACTGCAGGTAAAACCCACAAGGAAACAGGTGTCTTTCCTCTACATGTGGAGATGGACATCCACTACAACCCACAATTACCCCCAAAAGTCCAGACCTTTTATTTCCAGACCTCTCTATTTCAGGAGGCCTGGAAATGTCTTAAATATTGGAGGATGGTTTCTGTAACAACAGGCCAGCTACAGTTGTCTAGGGAAATCGCTCTACAGTTGCGTTTCTTAACCTTGGCCATGAACTAGAATAACCTAAGGAGTTTAAAAAAATTCCCTGCCCAGGTCACCCATCAGACAAATGACATCAGTGTCTTGGGAGGTGAGCGTTTCCTTTGTAAAGTTTCCAAGTGATTCCAGAGGGAGACTGAAGTTGAGAATCACTGCACAGAAAAGAAACCCGTCAGAAGCACTGAGTCAGTGTGCCCTTGTTTTTCATTTGTTGAGTATGTACATTAGGAATCTTAAAGCCATGAATAAATAGATACTGACATTTCATTTGTGGGTTTGGGAGCATTTTGTTTACCAGTTTTTTACAGATGTATTTAACAGATCATAGAGTTCACTCATTACTAGTGTACAGTTCAATAATTTGTAGTGGCTTTAAAGAGTGCTACAACCATCACCATAAACCAATTTTATAACATTTCCATCATCCTGATAAGAAACCACAAGAGCATTTTTTTTTTAATACTCAGTGTTGGGTTAATATATAACCTGGCTGATGGATGGTCCTGTTTCCCAGGTATAAATACTCTGATCATGGGCATTTTCTTTTTTTTTTTTTCATTTATTTTTATTAGTTGGAGGCTAATTACTTTACAATATTGTAGTGGTTTTTGTCATACATTGACATGAATTAGCCATGGATTTACATGTATTCCCCATCCCGATCCCCCCTCCCACCTCCCTCTCCACCCGATGATCATGGGCATTTTCAAGCTGCCGATGGTTTAACAACAAGCTTACAAAATTCCTGAGAATTTAATAATGGACTTGAGCTCTTGTCCCTCTAGGACAATCTTGATACACTTCTCGTAGGTCATAGGATCTGAGACAACTTGAAAATAACTTGTTGTCTCTGGCGGAATTCTGAATAAAACGAAACTTCTTCTTTGAACCTATAAGCTACTGGTTAGGTAGAATCCACCGCTCAAGTGGAATGTGGAGGCTCAGTGATGTCTGATTCTTTGCAACTCCATGGACTGTAGCCCACCAGACTCTTCTGTCCTTGGAATTTTCCAGGCAAGAATACTGGAGGAGTTGCCATATATTACTCTAAGGGATCTTCCTGACTCAAGGATTGATCTAACCTGTATCTCTTGCATCACCTACATTGGCATGCATATTCTTTACTACTGTGTCACCTGAGAATCAAGCTACCCCTAAACTTCTAATTAATTCAGTTTTTCAAATGCTCCCTAAAAACAAAATGATTTAATGCACTTGATAGATAAAAAAAGGGTGATTTTATTGCCTTCATTTAAAAGTTGTTTTTAAAAGGATTATTTGAGTAGTTAGGTAGATTCTTAATGTTTGTATTTTTGATATAGACAAACAGATAAGGTGATGGTTAAATGGAAGAGATGTCATGCATCTTTGTTCTTCGGTCCCTATTTTCCTCCGGGCTCTGGAATCTGTCAGTTTTGCAAATTAAACCTTGAACTGCAGCAGCTCCATCCCCTGCCTTCCTAGGACACACATGACTTGTACACAAGACATGTTTATTCTCTCTAAAGTACCTAAATCAAGCCACTTGGATACAGTTCTACGTCTCATTTGTCGAGTGTCAGCCTAAAAGCATTTTTTTTTTTCATCCTAAACACGTTCACACAGCCAGAAGCAAAGGGGAAATAACACAAGCTGCAAAGGTTGCTCACTTCACTTACACACCAGCTGAAAGGGGGTGGGGGGAGGTGGGAAGGGAGGGGCAAGGCCCTGGAGGATAGTTCGTGTGAAGGGGAAGGGGGACCGGGAGCAGAGGGCAGGCTGTGTGAGGCTTTCAAAATTAAATGATGGGGAAAGGAAACAAATAATGACTGTTTGAGATACCACCTAAGGACCAAACTAGGCTAGAATTGCTAATCGGTTTTGTGTTGTCCAGCTCTTTGGGACCCCATGGACTGTAAGCCAAGCGCCTCTGTCTGTGGAATTTTCCAGGCAAGAATACAAGAGTGAGTATTCCCTTCTCCAGGGGATCTTGCCCATTTAAGGGCTTCCCTGGTGGCTTAGACGGTAAAGAATCTGCCTTCAGTGCCTGAAACCCAGGATCGATCCCTGGGTCGGGAAGATGCCCTGGAGAAGGGAATGGCAGCTCACTCCAATATTCTTGCCTGGAGAATTCCAAGGACAGAGGAGGAGCCTGGTGGACTACAGTCCATGGGGTGGAAATGAGTCAGACAAACAAAGGGATTAACAGTTTCACTTTCATTTTAACCATTTAAAATTCCTGCAATTCTTTTATTATAACAAAAGTTCCTACAAAACAATGTAGGAATGGTGTAAGTGTACAGTTTGTTTAAGAATGCACCCTTGCAAACAGTATAACTACAGACACAAAAGGGATACAATGAAATAAAACTATTTTAGGATATTTTAAAACTAAATATTCATGGGGACTTCCCTGGTGGTCCAGAGATTACAAAGGATGTGGGCTCAATCCCTGGTTGCAGAACTAAAATCCCACATGCTATGGGGCCAAAATGTAAAAAGAAAAGAAAAAATTATTCAAATTACCTAGTCATACATATTCCTTCAAGTGAGAAATATAGTAAATATTCCTTTAAAAATATTCTTTTCTTACATATACTTTCCCAATTCTAAAATCTGTAAGAAAGTATCTGTGTTTGGCTGTGTTGGTCAATGTCAAGAAAGTAGATTCTAAGCTCTGGATATTAAAATAAATTCATTAAAAAGTCTCTCACTTCTCACCTCTAAGAGAAGTTTAGACCAGATGAAGGGTCAGTAAACATTTTTGTCAAAACGCAGGTTATAAATATTTTAGACTTTGCAGGCTTTATGACTTATGCTTCGGCTACTCACATCTGGCCCTGTGGGGTAAAAACAGCCATAGATAACACAAAAACAAATGATTGTGCTCGTGTGCAAACACAATGTTATTTAAGGACCTACCCTAAAATTTGAATTTCATATAATTTTCATGAGTCACAAAATATTCTTTTTTTCCCCCTTAACTGTTTAAGTATAAAACTCCACTTGGCTCACAGTCGAAACAAAATCTTGTACCTTGGCAGGAATTGGCCCTCTGATGATGACTTGCTGACTTAGGGAATGAGTAATAACAACTAAAGCAAGTTCTTACGGCAAGGCAGGCATTTTACATACATTCGCTCTGGTCTTTGAATGATACTGATGTTCCAGCTCTACATCCAAGGAGACTCATCAGCAGAGCAATCAGACTGCCTGGCGTCCTAGAGAATCTGGGTCCCCAGTCCATGCTTATCCCAAGGAACCAGGTTGCTCTCCTGT